GCTTGTTTCTTTGGGCTTCTTTTGCATGTTAAATGGTTTTCCATAATGGACCAGATATCGTGTTTTGGCTGGTACGATGTTTTTAGTTGAGAACTTAACTTTTATAATATCATCAACTTTGCCGTACTGCAATTGAAATTATTTTAAGATGGCCACGTCATCACTTTTGTTGATGAATTAACGGCAGACTAAATGAACCATTTTCTTATGTCACGCTGATTTTATTTAATATTTCAACATCTAATAAAAGAAACTGTATTTTGGGAGTCACAAAAGTCACCGCCAAAAATTTCCAAAGTTCCACCGTGAAGAAGATGGATTTCAGGCTTCTGAAGAATGCGGTTGATGGAGCGGTGGTAGTCGACGCCCACGCCCACAATCTGGTGGCTCTGGATTCCACTGTTCCTTTCATCGATTGTTTCTCCGAAGCTCACGGCGACGCCTCGGCTTATGTTCCTCATTCCCTCTCCTTCAAGGTATTTGCTATCTCGCCCGCCTCAACTTTTGACTCTTCTCGCGCTTCGGTCGGAACTCGAACCTATTCGATTGTCTTCTTGTTTCGTTCAACTGCTGGCCATCCACTCGTTTGCGATAAAGTTCGTGTTTATCAAACCAAACGTCACTCAACTGTTAATTTTAGGCATCACTTGAGACTGCAGGATTCTTGAAACCTCTGGCAAAGTAACTATGAATCTATATAATACTAGTCTGAACGTATAAAAATGTGTCGCATAATATTCCCACAAAGGCTTAAGGAGTTCTCTGTCTAGATATAAATTATTATTCATATTTTCTGTGCGTTGTGCTGTAAGATTCTTACTATAAGTTAGTAAAGATACCGTGGTGCCAAATGTGACCGGGTTTGCAGATTGACCACTGCTCACTGGAACGTGGTGCTCCAGGAATTTTAGTATTATTGAATTTTTAAGGTTAGTGGGCCAAAAATCTGGAAAGTTTTTCAGGGTTTTGGCTTGTCCAGCGGTAAGTCGGGGTCTGGTTCCATTTTTGATGCCCACGTCTAAATCTAATATAGACTTGAGCTTAACGCACTAATTTTAATTTTTATATTGTTGCTTATGAAGTAAATTGAGCTTAATATTACTCGAGTTCTATGATATCGAAGCACTGGATTGAGACCTTTCTTCTGACCGGTTTGTGATATGTGTAATGCAGAGAAACTTGAGGGATATCGTTGAACTTTATGATTGTAAACCATCCTTGCGCGGGGTTGAGGAATACAGGAAATCCTCTGGATTAGATTCCATTTGCTTATGCTTCAAAGCTGCAAGAATATCTGCCGTACTCATCGATGATGGATTAGAGTTGGACAAAAAGCATAGCATAGAGTGGCATAGAAATTTTGTTCCAGTTGTTGGTAGAATATTGAGAATCGAACGTTTGGCAGAGAACATTCTTGACGAAGTGAGATATAGATGTGATTTTTTGTCTTGAAAATTTTTTGAACTTTATTTTCCCCTGATTGCTTTATGTATGTGAACAGGAGTTTCAAGGTGGGTCTTCTTGGACACTGGATGAATTCACAAAAACATTTCTTAGGAAGTTGAAATCATATCCATTGTTTGTTTTGTGACTTTATATACTATTATTGGCGGACATTAGACTCTCTACTCTATTGTATTTCCTTATAAGCTGTAGTACATTGGCTCATGAGATATATGGACTGAAAAGTATAGCAGCATATCGCAGTGGTCTAGAAATCAATGTGAACGTCTCAAAGAAAGATGCCGAGGAAGGTCTCGTTGAGGTTTTACAAGGTCAATACGACTTAGACAAGGTTTTCTCTGCATTTCTCTATTTCTCTTCATAATATACTAATAAATGTATAATAATTCCAGGTGGAAAGCCTATTCGGATAGTTAACAAAAGCCTTATTGACCATATATTTATTCATAGTTTGGAAGTTGCTCAGCACTTCAACTTACCAATGCAAATACATACTGGGTAAGATAAAGTACTGATATTTGTTTGATCTACGTTGTGTTCTGACTTAAACAGTTAAACTAAAAGGCGTATAAGTTATGATATAACTGGTAACTTGAATTTGTTGGCTGTACATTATACAACCTCTAATTGGAATGGTATTCACAAATCTTTTTGTAGTACTCCCACTTCTATTTATCAACATATATTGGAGGCTTTTGTTTGATTCCTCATTTTAGGTTTAGGGTCCTCTTTCTACAAGAAACCAAAATTCGCAATACCCACCAAATTAATTTGTACAAGATAAACTTGCTATGTGACACCATACCAAGGTAAACCCCATAACTAGAAGCAAAAACTTACTTGCATCTTACTTTACTAATAACATTCCAACCATAAATAATTTTGTGGATTGAATAGTTTTGAAAAGTTATGGACAGACCATGACAAGAAGCCACATGAAGCTTGATTAGTTCAAAGCTTTCATCCAAAGGAGAACTCTTGCTATCAAAGATTCTCTTGTTCTTCTTTTACCATATGCCCCAAATAGTACTTAACAATGTTGATCCAAAAAATCTTTGCTTTTCCTCTAAAGCCATGGCTGCATAAAGGACTGAAGATATTATTTTCTAACCTTGAAATTATTAAGTTATTAACCCATATACCTTTCTGAATAACTCAAGAGAAGCCTCCCATAAGCACTAACTATACGAACAGTGGAAAGAGTACAAAAAAGGCACAAAGAAGCCTCCACTGTCCGTTGGTTAAAGTATTTTAAATGAATTTTTTGGAGTGTCGACTTTTCTCCCTAATCACGGGGATTCTTGGCTTTTGGAAAGTCTTGGAGGAAAGTCATTTGAAGGCGAAGGGCATTTGTTTCCTATCAAAATAAATTGTTAAATTTTGGGAAGTTTGAAAGCGGTAGGAATAGAAGAATTAAGGACATGTTGACAACTATTTTGTAAATAAGTTAGTATAAAATATGTTGGCATTATTCGATTCCATAGTATGCACAGTTATCAAATCACGAGGTGCTTCATTTTTAGTCCCGTCTCATATAATTTTGTCTGTGTTTCCTGCCACTAGATTTGGAGACAAAGATCTAGATTTGCGGCTGGCCAATCCACTTCATCTTCGGAGTGTTCTAGAGGATAAGAGGTTCTCTAAATGTTGCATAGTTCTGTTACATGCATCCTACCCATTCTCAAAGGAAGCGTCATATCTCGCTTCTATTTATCCTCAGGTTGAAATATTCATCTTCATTATATTTTTGATCTCGAAATATGAGATTTGGATGATATTTGATAAAGCAGTAAGTTTTCTGGTTTATTTATGCTTTTAATCTCTCAGGTCTACCTCGACTTTGGATTGGCAATTCCAAAGCTTAGCGTCCATGGCATGATATCTGCACTTAAAGAACTGTTAGAGCTTGCTCCAATTAAAAAGGTGAAAGGAGTGCAGTATTGAGGTTCTTTATAGTTAAGTGTTTCTTGAAGTATGTTTTACATAAAGCAAACTTCTTGGATAAGTAAGAAAGAAATAGTTTATGGTATGGCTTTTATTGATCTTTTTTCATGCACAAGTTTGCTAGTTTGTGTCGTTTGGCTAAAAGTTTGACATCAAAATTGCAGGTGATGTTCAGCACAGATGGATATGCTTTTCCTGAGACTTATTATTTAGGTACAGAAATATGACCATATGAACGTTTTAATGGTATATCAAAAGATATAAGAGAGAGAGAGAGAGAGAGAGAGAGAGAGAGACAAGCTGGGTTAGTATCTTATCATTTTGGTGGTCTTTTCGTAACACAGGAATACTTTCATTATCTGCACTTATTATTGGTTCATAACTCAAACTAATTTTACTTGTTTTGTAGGTGCAAAGAAAGCACGGGATGTTATCTTTTCTGTTTTACGGGATGCTTGTAATGATGGTGACCTCTCAATTCTCGAGGCTGTTGAAGCTGTGAATGATATCTTTGCACAAAATGCTATTCGATTATACAAGATTAATCTGACGAATGAGAGTTCTATTCCTAATAGTTCAATATTTTCTATTCCCTTGACGAAAACTGATGTTGTGCAAAAGGATGCCAGGCTCGTTCGCATTATTTGGGTTGATGCTTCTGGACAACACAGATGCCGTGTGAGATTATTTTCCTTTTCTCTTTTTGATAATTATATATATAACTATAATATGTTGGGAAAAAAATCAGAAATTCTTTTATAAAATTTTACCTAAATTTTTCTAGCATATATTTGTTTTAAGTCGTCCTCAAGATGGCCTCCCAGAGTACCTTTTTTTCCTTATTTTCTTGGAAAACAAAGAAGTATGATAAGAGGTCCATTATAAATAAAGAAAAAATTCCATCAAATTTCTTAAAATAAAAAAGTTTGTTCTGTTTATACTCGTTAAATAAAAAAAAAAGGATTATTTCCTTTGCTAAGAAAAATGGAATCCTTCCCGTTCTTGGAGCAAGCACCTCCACCCGGAGGGCTTTCCTAATGTTGGATCAAATATATATATTTTTCCTTTTTACACCCAATGTGCTGTAAAGGTCCTTTTCTTTTCCTTCTTTTCTCAGGATTGGAGTTTTTATTATTTATTTTACGTGATTTATGATCTAATCAAACCAGGTTGTTCCCTCCGAGCGGTTCAATGATGTTGTTGAAAAGAATGGGGTTGGTTTAACTTTTGCCTGTATGGGAATGACCTCTCATTTGGATGGTCCAGCTGACGGGAGTAATCTTACTGGTGTGGGTGAGATCAGACTTTTGCCAGATTTATCAACCAAATGGATGGTTCCTTGGTATGAAGATTCCAGAATGTTTCTGATGTTTTTTTGCATCACAATTCAAGTTTTTAATTCTCCTACACTAACTTCTCTACATAAAAAGAGTTTCTTAGTTTGTTCAAATAACTATTTAGAAATTCACATTTGTTTTTCTAATTTATACCACTGTTTAGGAAGAGGAATTCACGTATATTTTTTAATTGGTACCATTTTTAGTTCAGCCTATTCCACTGCTTTCTTCAACAGGAACAAGCATGAGGAGATGGTTTTAGCTGATATGCATCTTAGACCCGGTGAAGCCTGGGAATACTGCCCAAGGGAAGCCTTACGCAGGGTCTCTAGAATTCTGAAAGATGAATTTGACCTAGTACGAAAGATCGTTAAAGTCTTTTGAATAGATGATGTAGAAAATATTTACTCTGTTAAATGTCTTGTGTCCAGGAAATGAATGCAGGCTTTGAAAACGAGTTTTTTCTACTAAAAATTTCAGTTAGGTAGGGATCTAATATTCTCAATGCCTCGATTAATTTTTGAATATAACAATTTGCCAATTTTTATTTCTCTATTTAAATTGAACTTTTGTAGTGATGGCAAAGAAGATTGGGTGCCATTTGATTCAGCACCCTATTGTTCTACATCATCATATGATGCTGCCTCTCCTATTCTTCATGAAGTAGTTGCTTCCTTGAACTCCTTGAATATTACTGTGGAACAGGTATGGAAAAAAAAGGATCACAAGTAAGAACAGAAGTATTGTTAGAATTGAAGTTTTTGGTATTTTAGTTCCCTATTTATTCAAGGACACATGCCAATTACTTTTCTGGATCAGCAACATGCATTTATGGATGGATGATGGAGTTATTACTTCTTAATTGCATTGTGCATATCTAGTAAAGTGGATGAGGATGATAACTTGTAATCTTTTCAGATGTAAAAATGCTAGCATATGAACTAATATTTACAATTTGTTTTGGTAGCACTTTTCCAACCTACTTTCTTTTTCTCTTCACTTGTATATGGGCTGTGAAAGCATGAAACTGAAAGCTTTCAAGATTTGGAGGGGACAGACTCTTTGATTGCATACCTGTAACCTATATAATATGTAGATTATTTGATGTTATGGTGTGTATTGGGGTACACTTCTACTAAGCTGATGGAGCACTATTCCATGGGGATATAACCTATATAGTACATAGATTATTTGATGTAATAATAACGTTATCTAGGCATATATCTACAATCTATTTCAATTATCTAACATACCGTCTAACAAAACACATTATTACCACATTACATAATCTACGTACTGTATAGGTTTTACCTTACCAGTCCTTTGTAATGCCCCTATACACCATTCGTATTTTGCTTAAAGTAGGTTGCAGATAATAGATTTGCACCAAAAACATATTATTACC